TCCATCATGTTTTAATGGTTGTAGCCCCAAAGTTACCCTCTGTGCTGTTTATTTGTTGCTTGATTTGAGCGTGGAGTGTGTCCCTTTATTTAGAAGAAATTTGTTTTATTTTGTTTCTTGATTTGGCGACACTCGTGCTCTCTTCATTATTTCATTGGGTGAGTTTGTAAATTTCCAAGACTTTTTCTTTTTGTTTATTGTTAATTGTAAATATATATATATATTATTTTTTTTTTTTGGATACATTTAAAGCCTATTTCTTGGTGTATTGGATGGGGTTTAAAATGAATAAATGTCATTTTCTCTGTTTGAACTTGTGCACTTGGCCGAAAACCGAAACCGGAAATGCTTTTTAATTATTTATTATTTTATTAAATAGGAAATAATTTTGTAAGAATTTTTAATTTAACTCAATTATAATGATACTAAATTTAAAAATTCAAGCCAATAAAATAACCACACTTTTATTGAAAGTAAAGCAATAAAATTGGACAGAAAATATATTGTTAAATATCTCCTCTTCACAACTAGCCCACCGTTTGATTTGCACTATTAGGCTATATCCCAAATTTGGTTATAGAGTTTTGTGAATGTTACATTCCCTCAGCATCTGCTCAAACTGAGGAAAGAACCAGTCAGGATCAGAGATAATCCACCGATGCGGATGCTGTTAACTTCAACTAAAGTTAGACTAAACTTGTGTGAAGTTAAAAATATAAATAGAGGAAAAATGTTCAACAAACATTAGAAATGTTGTCTTGGTAACTACCCAAAATTAAATTTGACTTGAAGTAATGACAAAAAAAATAAAGATAATAAAAAAAAAAATTATATGAAAATATAATTTGATGAAAAAAAAAAAAAAAGATGTTGCCTTAGAAACTAATTGAAATTTTACAAAATTAAGTTGCTAAAATGAAAAACTGAATAAATAAATAACTTGAACAGGAATATTAAAAAATAATAATAATTATAAGAGGAAAAACTTAAACAACTGACATGAATGTAAATTAAAGTACTAAAACTATTAAAACTAATTAGAAATATAAAAAACTATAAAAATATAATTATTAAAAGGAAAAAAAAAAAACATTAGAAACATTGCCTTGGAAACTAAATGAAAAAAACTATTAAAATTATTAAAAAAAAAAGCTAACTAGAAATATAAAATATATATACAAATGAACATTAGAAATGTTGACTAAAATGGCTAAAACAAAAAAAAACTAGAAATATAAATAAAACAATGAAAATATAAATATTAGAAAAGCTTAAACATTAGTGATGTTGCCTTAGAAACTAATTGAAATAAAAAAAAAACGGAATAAATAAAAAAATAACTTGAACAGGATAAAAAAAATTATAATAATAATTATAAGATGAAAATGAATATATAAATAGAGGAAAAACTTAAATATTAGAAATGTTTTCTTGGCAACTAACTGAAATAAAAGTTGAAATACTAAATTGACAAACTGAAAAAGGCAAAAAAGAAAAACTAACAATAAAAATATAAGAGGAAAAAATTAAGTACTAAAACTATCAAAACGGGGGGGGCACTATAAGTAGTATATAAATAACACAGCATCTCACAGGTTCAAACTGAAGCATATGAAGCTCTAGCGTGTGACTCACATGAGCGGCAGCGTCCTCGTTGCTCAGCATGTTGGGGTCAGAGGTCATGATGGGGGGTCCGGGTTGTTTAGGGACGCTGGGAGACTGAGGGGCCGCTTTACTCCGGTTCACCAGCTCCTGCATGGTGTCTGTGATGCATTTGTAACAGCAGAGCCTGGACAAAAACAAGAGTTACAGCCTGATTTAAACCTGCAAATCCCATATGAGCACCTCAGGATCCTGTAAAAGAACTAGGGATGTAACGATTAACCGCGAGCAGGTTGAAAATCGATTCAAATTTGTGACGATTCAAATCGGTTGAGATGCTAAACAAATTGCGATTCAATTAGAGGCAGGAGTTTATATGAATGTATGTCTGAGGAGAACTTACTCTCATTAGAAAAGTTTAGATGGTATTTTTTCTTTTCATCTTGCCATAAGTGCAGCGCTGCTTTGTTTACAGCGGTAACCAAGGAAACGCTGCATCATTGCTGTTCATAAGCGCAGCGCTGCTTTGTTTACAGCGGTAACCAAGGAAACACTGTATCATTGCTGTTCATAAGCGCAGCTCTGCTTTGATTACAGCGGTAACCAAGGAAACACTG